TTAGCGTGATTTCTACAACCCGCCAGCGAGCGGGTTTTTTGTTGTGATAGATAACAACTCCAGGTGGCATTCATTAGTGAATATTAGTTAATGTGTGCTGCCATGCGTTAAAAGATGTCAATTCGTTATTGACCGATATCAAATTATGGAAAGATGAATTTCATTACTATTGAAAATCCGTTGTTTCAATAGGTGATATTTATGCATAAACTAATTAAGCTGTTTTCATTTTTTATTGCACTATCGATATCTCAGTGTTATGCCACTAGTAATGAATTCATAAGCGCCAGTAACAGTAGGGCATTTTCATTTTTTTTGCCTACAGGGCAAGCAATGGCTATCCAGTATCTTGATGGACTTAAAAGATATTCAGCGAGTGAGATTATAGACGATTTCAATAATAATGAATTGAGAGCAAAGAAAAAGTATAAAGATATATTCATCATAAACTCAACAGCGCGGGCGATTAAGCAAGACCTTGATGATAGGTTTTTTGTTCTGCTAAGGGATGGTAATAGTGGATTTGAATCGTTTTATGCTTACTATGATAAGAAATCAGAAGGTGACTTAGAGTTTCTTAACGAAGGTGATAATGTGGAGTTTATTTGCTCCAATGTTAAAAACATCATTATGCCAAGAGCGGAATGTTTTTCTATCGCTTTAAATCTTGAATCTAAAAATATTCAGGGAAACCCTATAAGATTTTTTGATAATGCTTATAAGTTGCAAAACACTTATAAGGCTACAAAAATAACATTTATACTTTATTCTCTTCTGAAGGATAAAATTGAAAAGGACTGCGAAGAATCTATTGAAGCATGCAACCTGGCTGCCAGGAGGTTTACGGATAATGGCGCATTACTTGACTCCATGCTTGAACCTTATGCGGATATGTTAAGTAAAATCGGTAACAATTAACAAGGTTACATTCCAGGCATCCTGCCAGGGCTGCTTTTTTTACCTCATTTACATCTATTGCTTGCTGGCTTTTTGGACAAGAGTTATTGGTATGTCACGTTAACCAGAAAAGGAAAAAAGACATGCTAAAACAGCAGGATATGACCGAAACGCCAGAGTG